GGGGGGGGGGGGGGGGGGTTAATAGAGTCTCAGATGCCAGGGGAGTAATAAGCTATTATTAAAAATACAAAGCCCTTGATTTCACATTCTACTTTTTCTTATAACAACTGTTGCAGGCCAACTTACTTGTCTCACTTTGCTTGAATGGATGTGACTTATTGCCGTGGATACCGATTTAAAAAACACTGGCTTCTCTGAGTCTAGGTTTCCATGGTACTTCATCGCTTTTATCAAGGAAGCTACAGGGAAGCACAAGTGGTATAAGGTATGCAGAGCAGCCGGAGGGGAGCGTCTGATGGTTCTAGGATTCATGTTAGCCAGGGACATTCCCCCTCTTACCTGTGCAGTGGGCTAGTGACACATCCACACCCCTGCTCTTGCAGTCCAGGTAAACCTGGGAGAATGAACACAGTATTTCAGCGATGAATGCAGGATAGCCAGCCAGAAGGGATAAGACAGGCTTTTTTTTTTCCAGAAGCAAGGTGAATTTCTAGCAAAAAGCCAATTTGTACGTCAGACCCGCAGAGGGCAGTATTGCTACACAGCCGGGCGTGCCCTGGCCCGCTCCTGAAAGGCTGTCTCAGCCAGATGAATGCATCCGGGCATTTTACCTTTTATGCAAATACATTTGGCTGCTTACATTTTCCATTTCGTTTAATGAAAATTTTTAAAATTACCTTTCCTTCCCTGTAAGAATTATATAAAATTGTTCTCAACCTTCTTTTATTGGAGGTCAAGGACCCATTTATAAAAGTGATGAAAACAGCTGACTTTAATATTTTTACAACAACTTGTGCATATTCGTGGGCTCTCGAAATCCCATCCGTGATGGGTAAGTTGAGAACCTCTCTGGACTTGAAACCAAGCTTGAGTGCCCTGCTTCCATTTTTTAGGATCCATCGAGATAAGAGATCCTAAGTAATCTGCTTGCCATACTGTCAGGCCTCGCCTCATTTAAGTCCAAGAAAATCTCAGGTAGGAACAGTGTGTTCAAGGCCCTGATCTTAAATTTACCCAAACCAAAAATCAGCCTGTAAAAGGCAGCCCAAGTAAATCTAGACGTTTTAGTAATTGTAGGGTGGATTTTGTTATATAACAGTGATGTATCTTACATATAAAAAAGAAAACAGCATTTAAACGCATTCTAAGGTTACGCATAATACATCTAAAATGTCCCCTTATATTCTTGTAGCAGGAGCCAGTTCTGTGCTAGAAGAATTGTAGGATAGGAGATGTGTCGCTCTGAGCATGAATCTACTTGCAAACAATTAAATAATTAATACATGAACTGAGCGTGGCCGTTGAACCAATGGCTCCTGCATCTGTAAGTTGAAATCGTTAATTCAAGGTGACCTGTCAGTGTTTGACTTTCTCTTAAGCTCAGTAAAGCACACACACATTGCTGGGGGTGGTTTGTGGGAGCCGATAAACACAATCTGCAGTTCACTGACCTCTCCAGTGTCCCAAGTACAAAAATAAATAAAAGCCGCTCCATTTCCTTCAATGTCTAACTCCTAGGAGAACGTTTTTTATGCTAAAGCAACTAAGAAAATAGTCAAGGAAATGTTATTAAAAAGGGGAAGAAGCGCAGGGCTGAAGGGACTCGGCGGCTCTTCGCTGTGGACCTTCTTTCAGGATGGCCACAACGAAGACACAGTGTTAGTTGCAATGATAGTATTTGCATTTTAACAAATGACTATTGCAGCCAGCCAGTGTGGCTCAGTGGTTGAGCATGGGCCTATGAACCAGGGGGCAGGGTTTGATTCCTGGTCAGGACACATGCCCGGGTTTCCGGCTCCATCCCCAGCAGGAGACGTGCAGGGGGCAGCTGATCAGTGACTCTCATCATTGATGTTTCTCTCTCTCTCCCTCTCCCTTCCTCTCTCTGAGATCAATAAAAGAACTTTTTTTTTTTTTTTTGAAAAAGAGAAGACTGTTACAAAATGAGAAAAAATAGAAGTTAGCATTATTGAGTATTTACTAACTTCTACAAACTTCGTGATCTTTCTATAGAACATATCATCTCTGAGCTTCACAACAGCCTAGTGCAGTCGGTATTTCTACTTCCAGTTTGCAGAAAAACACACTTAATCGCACATCGTGGTCGTGGGGGGCCCAGCGCTCTCTGGGCGTCGGAGGGGACGGGGAGATGAGCATTGACACGGGAATCAGGGCCCCGGGGCTCAGAGTGGGCGGTGAAACCCTGTGACTGAAGGGAGGGGGGTCATCAGTCCAAACACAAGCTGTGTAAATACCTCAACAAGCACGGAGACCCCGGAATAGTCAAAGAAGGTCACCCCGCTGCAGTCCAGGACCACACGCCACCCCTCGCTGGGGCAGGACTGTGACGCTTCCTCTGCAGAAGGAACACAGGCCCGGGTTGGGAGACGACTCAGAGGTTTCTGCTGCGGATTCTGTCGAACGTGGAGCAACGGCGGTGGCCTCGTGCGCAACCGACCGGCTCCAAACGCTTTGAACCTTTACACGGTCAACTCAAGACTCGTTCTGTCCTAAATCTTTGATTTTTTATTACTTACATGTTATCTCGGGTAATTATTATAGACCTCGGGGAAGCAGACAGGATAGGGTAGCTACCAGAATCGTTTCACAGGAGGTGAGCTCAAGCTCGGCCGTTTAGATCATTCTGGAAAAAGCATCTGGCCGGGG